GTACAGCACCATGAGACAAGTAAAGTAAAGCATTATGGATAATATGATTGACCATGTGACCTTGGTATTCCTGTGCTATCCAACCAGGAAATTATGGGTAATTTTAGTTGCCAGGTTACTTTGTAGGTATGCACTTGATTGGCTGATTATTATGGTATATTTGACAGGGCTACCTTTGCCCTGGTAACTGCAAAACTGTGTGATTGGATGGGACATTTAGTATTCTGAGCATGCGCTTATGTTTTATTCAGTTACATAAAGCACACGTCGTCCCACATGGTTCTTAACAAGCAAATTTATTAGTATATAAGTCAAGCAAAAAGTAGTAATATACGATGATATGCCGCAGACTCGGAGGTAGACTTACATGACGTATGCTAATTTAATAAATGTCATGACGTCATGTGTGACGCAATGACACAGGGATCCCAGTTGGAGTTGTCTGATTTCCGGTTAGAAAGAATATCACATGATAGGAAGGTTGCGGATTGAACTTCCGGTGTCCCAAACGCGACATGACACATAGATTGACAAAAAGGTAAAACTAAAGTCGGCCTAGCCTATGGCTAGCTCGACTAATAAGGAAAGTGTATTGAAATGCGATTTACCGAAAGTAAAGAATAATAAGTGTAGTGCACTTAAGGCCCGTTTACACTATGCGATTTTTGCAACGAGATAACCACCACTTTGCTATCGCGCAACTAAAATAGCATGCGTAGACAGCCCTGTGATTGTTCCGTCGATGGTAAATCGCCGCGAAGTTGCAGCCAATTTTCAAGCATGTTCAAAATTCAGGCGAAGTGTAAATGGGCCTTTTAAACCACCCCAAAAGGGCTTCAGAATCGCGAAAAGATGATCGCTGAAAACGACAAACAAAGTATGTATGCCTTCACTATCTATCTATCAAATGAAAAATCCACAGAACAAAGTAGTACAAAACCCTTTAGTGTTTTAAAGTAGAGCTATTATCATCGTGTACTTACTGAAATTGGTACATATATAGACAGAGAATACCCATAAACACACAATATTTCCAAAAATGAGTATCCAGCRGTGCTTCTTCTCCATAACAAAAGCCCCCATAATGCTGTTGGAATCAGGAAAGCATATGTGTAGATTGCWCCGGCTGCCAAAGTCACTGAAACAAAAGTGATCATTTATTATGATATTATTAATGATTTTTTTACTAAAATGGCAGCTAATCTTGGTATAAATGATAACCATTAAATTATAAAAGGAGAACACAACTTTTTCGTTAAAATGTTTTTTTTAATGTTTTCTTTTTCCAAACACAGAAACACCAGAAGAAATAACTCATAAACTAGATTAYTGGCCYCAATACTGTAGATTGCACAGGTTTSTCTKGGAAACTTCAYTTARTTAGTGTAACCTACTAACTAGTGGTGATTGTCAKGTTTTAAAAGGTACCTTTGTGAAAATCATAAACCCATTCGTGGTCCCCCTTCTCCACCAAGTAGCTTGCAAGATTACCAGCAATCGCTGTTGTAAATACTAATGTTGCACAGACCCAGAATGGACCTGTCAAGTAAAGAGCACAGTCAATTCAATTTTGTTCTAYATTGTATGAAACTTTGAAATTATTGCTTGTTTGTGAAAGACACTGAAATTTGTAAGTACTGCAAGCTCTTCTTCAAGTCTGAGCAGTTGTTTTTCACCATTCAAATGCTCTATTTCATTAATGAACTGTAACAGTAATCCATCCTTTATCTTACCGTATAAGTCTGGGTTGGGTCTGATCTGTGAGACGAGATAGTTCTTCTTGTATGCAGGTACCATTGACCCAAGAATTCTTTTACAAACCTGAGTGATTCAATGATTTTAGTGAGTGTCATAAAACACAGTCATGAGGTGGGCATGACACATGACTGGTTGATTGATTGATTGATTAATTGATTGACTGGTTGATTGATTGATTGACTGATTGATTTGACTGGTTGATTGATTGATTAATTGATTGACTGATTGATTGATTGATTTGACTGGTCGATTGATTGATTAATTGATTGATTGGTTGGTTGGTTGACTGGTTGGTTGATTGATTGATTGGTTAATTGATTGATTGGTTGATTGATTGATTGAGAAGATGTCTAACTGATTGACTGTTTATTTCACTTCATAATTATTGATATATTGAAAGCGTAATGATTGATGAAAATAGCATACTTGTGCAGTATCAACATCAAAGAATCCTTGGTAGTACTCAAATGTCCAAAATGGTGGTGACTTTCTTTCTGATGCCAATAACTAAAAATTAGGTACACATTAATTCTCTCTGGATTAAAATTACTTTAGAYTGATGACAATTAGTCTCCTGGCATCCATATTYAGTTTCAGTGACGCATCACGCAACACATAGAAAGAGAGAGCATTGTGTGACCAAAACTGAACACTGCTGCAAGGAGACTAGAGTTAATACTAG